AGGGTGCAGTACTAATTCAGAGCAACTGAAGTGATGAAGGACTTCTCAGTCTTCATAGGGCTTCAATGGCCATGTCTGAAATAGGAGAGTTTTACTCTCCTGAACTAGAATCTTGAAAAGGTGCTTGGCATTTTGGTTTGTTTTGGGTTTTTTGGGGTTTTTTTGTTTTCTTTATCTATGTGGCGAATAACTAATGTTAACAAATTTTCTTCTCTAATTTCCTCATCTTTTTGAACCTGAATGGTTATAATAGACTATTAAATTTGACTTATTCATCAGACTCCAAGACAGTTAGTTGTCATGCTTTTTGAAATGATTATTACTTGCTGTGTCAGTTTGTTCTCAACATTTTACTTTACAGCCTATTTGAATTGCAGCTGAAATTTGGAGCCAATAACAGATACTTAGAGCCAAATCCTTGTTTGTGCAGTATCAAATGGTTTAAATTAAGATAGTTACATTCTTATTTCTTGGCTGAAAGTGATTGTGATGTTTCATCATTGTCTGAGAGTGTACGGCAAAAAAACTCTTGTGAGGCTTTAGAGAGAAAGAAAAACCAAAAAGCTAAGAAAGTCAAGTAGTTCCTGAGATTGCATCTGAAGAGGGAATACAGGAAACAAAATTCAGGATTAAAAAGGAAGTAATAGCTTAGTATGGTGGTCACTGGAGAACTAAAATCTATGCTCTTGCTATGACAATACAAATTTCAGCAAACAATTTGGAGTATAATATTGGAAAGCTTATCTTTTTTTATAACTTTTAGCAGATTTAACTTTAACAGATGACAGGTTAAAAAGCTGGGTGCCAAACTCAGCCCAAGAGTGATAACTGCTACAAAAAGCCAGTGGAAAATAACAAATTTTTCAACAATTATAGATTTCCATGTATTAGTATTCATGCAGACTTTCTGTGTTTTATTTGACTTAAACTAATATTATGGTTTTTTTAGTCTGTCAGCTCTCCTCTGCAATCTCTTCAGCAAAGAACATGGCTCATCCACTGGTCTTTGTTCGTGTTTTTTAATCATCCTAAAGGAAGAGACAATATCATTGACCTTTTTCTCTATCAACCACAGTAAGTTGTGTTGTGCTATGTTGAGGTCTTTAAATCAAAATGAAAGCAGGTGGTGAATATGCAAGCTTGTAGATTATTTTTCAGTCCAGTGCTGTTTCAGAAGTTCTAAAGGCACTAACACTCTGAATATTTTTTTTCCAAACCTTTTATTTTTAATTTTTGTGTATAACCTACTTTTATTGATGGTTATACTTCTCATTCAAGGAGAAGGGGTGGTGAAAGAAAAAGAACTGGCTCTTTTTTCTGGTGCTTGGCAGGGATGGGATAATGGGTTTTGCTAGAATACCAACTCTAACACATCTTTTAGGTCTTTAGGGGAAGGTATTGTTCTGGTTTTTTTTATTTTTATTTTACAACCGTTTTTTTAAGAAGGGTTCTTAAGGAAAACCTGAGAAGAATAAAAATGAAGATTGAAACACTGTAGCCATTTGTGAGAGGACTGACTTTCTTATATGTAGATCCAGGAGTCTAGAACAGCTTAACAGTAAGGAATTAGAAGTTTTCTTCTCCTTCTAGTACCTGGTTGGATATAATCTATTAGAATAGAAGAGTACTAAAGAAAAGCAATTGAATTTTTTCCATGATGATCCCAGTAGACTGGTAATTTGTAGTGGGCTTTTTTGCCTCCTTTTTGTTTTGTAATGTATGTGTTTGAGGTTTTTTTAATTTTAATGTATACTTCTCACTTGTAAATATGGGCTAATTTATTGGAGAGTTGAATAGGAAAGTTGCAGGCTTGGATGGCAATATGAAGAAGGACTTCCTGTGGTTCTGTATAGGAAAGTTGCAGGCTTGGATGGCAATATGGATGGCATAGGATGCCTTGGATGGCAAGGACTTCCTGTGGTTCTGCGTGCCTGTGCAAACCCCTCTTGCGAAATCAGTGTAGCTGACAGCTTAGGCCCGTGTTGAGCTGTATTTAGCACATGGACTGTTCTGTAGTGCTGGCTCCTTTCCTTCTCTCCCTAGCTCACTGCTGTCTTCTCTTCCTCTTACTTCCCTCCCTCTTCTTCCTGTCCCAAAGGTTATCACAAGGTTAACAAAAGTCATTCTTCTGTAGTTGGGTAAATGGTCAGTCATAAGCCCTGGTATTGTATTGGATAAAAGGTACATAAGCTATTTATCGTGAATACTGTTTTGATGTAAAATTGCTTTATCTGGATTTTTTCTTTTTAGATATCTCAATGCAATTCAGACAATGTGCCCACATATCCTCAGATATCTGACTACTGCAGTCATAACAAATAAGGATGTTAGAAAACGTAGACAAGTGCTGAAAGATCTAGTCAAGGTTATTCAGCAGGTAAGGACTGAAACACCTGATACTTTCTGTCCTTTTTTACTGAGACTTCATAGTAACTTTCTTTTAATAGTATACCTGGTTTAGGATTTCTACTTATATTTTAGTGCTCAGTTTCTCTCGTTAAACTGATTTTTAACTGTGAAGTAAAAAGTGTGTCAATTGGTAAGAGGACAGAATAATTTTTTTTCTTCATTTCATGTGAAGAAGCAGTGAGTAAAACAGAACATGCACTGAATTTTGCTTTTTTCTGTATGATTAAATGGAGAAAATTCAGCAAGATATGTGAAATGGCTTTGGATCCCATTCTTCTTTTTAGCCATTGCTGCAAAGAATTGTTATATGAATAAAGGATCTTGTTTGCATTTCAAAACCACTGAGCTGTGTGCGTTGTTTGGTGTTCATGTGCATTTTCTTGAAAATGCTTCTGTTCTCACAGTTATATGAGAATGTAGACACGGACAAGAACAATAAAAGAATTGTGTTTGACAGCAATGAAGGGGATTACAGCAAAGATCTTTATCTGGAATCAGCATGCAACTTGTATACAAGCCACCATGCTTCAAACACTTAAGATATATTGTGAATAATAAACTATATATGTGACAGGGCAGTTATTACAGGCTAGCAATCGATTATATCCACTTTGAGCATTGATGTAACTACCTATGCAAAGCACAATCAATGGCAAAGATCAAATTTTAAGTGTCTTAAGCTGTTCTTAAGCATTAGTGTTCACAAAAGGAGTAGCTTAAGAAGCTATAGACTAGTTGTAGACTCGTCTTTTATCTTAAGCTAAAACCTTATTTTAGCATTGAACTTCTAATGTAAAGAAATTCTAGTATGTGAAGTAAAGTAACATTTTATAACTTTTTTGCTTTCATTTTATCTTGTACAATTGATATGAATTAAAAAAGGATCACTAGGATGGTCCCTTTGGGAATACCAACTCTGGTGGCTTTGGTTTTGAAACCAACACTGGGTTTTTGGTTATCTTTGATAACAGATTTTTTTTTCCTAGTACCCTTCTACTCTGTGTGGTTCATTATATTAAATCATAAAGTGGTAGAGGTTTTATAGATTTGAAAGCAATTCAGGCAGGATAACTAGTGACATGTCCACACAGGAAAATTCGAAAGGTGGTTTGGTTAAGACTGGTTTATATAGTAGATGTTAACTATATGGTTAACGAGTACAATTTTGATATTAAAAAACCTTTGCCTGTAAAACTGAATTTTAAACCTAAACAGTGATACTGTAAATACAGTTCTTTGGGGAAGGAAAAATAACTTCTATAAAAAAAAAAAATCTGAGTTCTCTTAACCTGCTGATCTATTTGTATGCTAAAGCAAATATTGACAGAGTTAAGCTGTTTTAAAATGTGGATTAGACAAGTATCAGAGGATGTTTAATTGCACCTTAATATACACAGATTTATATAGATCAAGTGTTGTTCCTTCTTTGTAGTTAAGAAAGTTGAGTAATTCTTGTAATGTCAAAATAAGTTCAAGCATTTTGTACGTAGAAGGTAGCATTATTTGCATTAGCTATGTTGTCACTGTAAATCAAATGATCATTCAATTTGAAGTATGAAGGATTTGGTGTTGGACTAGTCTTTGAAATCAGAAATTGGGAATAATATCTGTTCTACTGTATTTTAAGAAATTTTGGAGGTTTTGTAGAGAACCAGCTCTAGTCTCTGACATTTTTCTAACCTGAAGATTGCAGCACTAAATGCTGAAGGTGAAACTGCACTTCTGGTTAGTTAACCCTACTATTGGGGAGAAAAAAGTGTATGTGTACTCAGCTTTTACAAGGGGAATTGGGAAGTTTAACTTAATATTTTATTTAAGATGAGGTATGGACTTGTTTCCAATATAAAATTTGGTTGAAGAATATAAGGAATACTCAAATGATCTTGTGGCCTTCATTCCTAATACTGTTCTTAATTTTTTTGACAGGAGTCCTACACATACAGGGATCCTATCACAGAGTTTGTGGAATGCTTGTATGTTAATTTTGATTTTGATGGTGCACAGAAGAAGCTGAGAGAATGTGAAACAGTAAGGTTTATAACTTTTATTAGACTTTCCTTCCTTTAAGATCAGATCTCTAAAGTTCACAGTGGACAGCTAATTTGTTTGAAGTGGTATTTGATTCCATTGCCAGTGGTTTTTGAGCTTTAATTCATGAGTATGTGTGCATTTTTTTTTGTGGTTTTGGGATTTTTTTACAACTTATTTTGTAACAAATAAGACTCAGAGGTAAGGATATACCTTTAAGACTATATTTAAGCAGTTCTAGGACAAGATAGGTAATCATACATTTGGCTGTGCTTCAGCTTTTCCATTAGTGTTTGAGAAGTGCTTCAAGAAAAGCTTGGATTTGCCTTTTGTTGTGAAAGATACTGTATCCTGGAATTGTAATGGTGAAATGAAATGTGAAGTAACAATAGGATAGTTATGAGAAATAACATTAGGATAGTTAAATGCATATTCTTGGAAAAAGTCTACTAGGAATGGTTAAATATACCTAACACCTGAGTTGACTCCTGTAAAAGTTAGTATTTCTAAGAGCTGAACATTAGTACCAATTCTTACAGCCTCTGATTTGACTTTCCTTTCATTAGTATTAGTCACCTAATTGGGTAAATCAGAAGGTGTAGGGCTGGTGTTCCTGTAGTCTGAATTTTACAGACACTTGCTCTACCAAGTAAACTGGCTTGCATGGTAAGGAGAATGCTGCTCAAACTGCAGAGTGAGAGGAGAATCCTCCAGTATGATGGGGGAGTTAAATGTTACGTGTTGAAGGGATCTTCAGTACAATTATGACAACAGTAGACTTTGTTCTCTTCTTGAGTCAGATCTTGGTGTTTGTGTTAGCATGTGATTTTAATTTAGCAAGCTGTGAAACAATGAAATCTTCTGCTAGATCTGTAGCTTTTTCTCCACATCTTGGAATGTACCAAGAACTCTTTTAGATGGACTGTTGACTGATCTTGATTATTGATGATGTCTACCAGTAAATTACTACTTCTTGTTTGTTCTTAGTGTTCCCTTTCTCCTTACACTTGCAGGTGCTTGTGAATGATTTCTTCTTAGTGGCATGCCTGGAGGACTTCATTGAGAATGCCCGTCTCTTTATATTTGAGACTTTTTGTCGCATCCATCAATGTATCAGCATTGGGTAAGATAACTTCTTAAGATAACAGAAAAATCAGTCACAGATGACAGTTTGACAAACAGCATAAACTTTAGTAGTAAAATATTCAGGCTTCGGATGAAATGAAAATCATTAGGTAAAATTTAATTGGATATTTGTCTTTCTAGCTTTATGTAATGTAATATACTTAAATTATAACAATCGTATTTTGAAACTGAATTCTTGTGGCTCACTTTAAAACAACCTGTCTCTACCACTCCCCAAACAAACAGTGCTCTCAAGCTAAAACTTTCTCATGGTGTCAAGTTGGATCTCTACTGGATATAATGGAAACTTCAATACCCAGTGTCACCTAAGTCTGGATGTCTTAATTTGGAGCTCAGTTCTGCACATATTGATATAGTGGTAATAGTAAATAAATACAAATTGGAAATATGGCAATTGCTTAAATGTATTTATATTTGTTAGATACAGATACCCATGTCTGTCTTGTGGGTATGTTCTTTGAAAACTATTAGAACTGTATTGTTTTTTTCATTAATTAAATAGAAGACAGTACATCTTATTCCCTGTGGCACAAAGCGAGTGATCCATCTGCTCTTATTAGCAAGTATGTCTGTTGTTTATTCAGATTAATGTTGTAAAAGCAGGCTTTTCAAATGAATTGGCTCCCATGTCTCTATTGTACAGACTAAGCAGGAAGACGTTGTTATGCATGCTTGAGATCCCTTTCCACTTGGCCTTTGCCCCCATTCCCCATATTTCCACATCCCTTAAATTAAAAAGGAAAAAAAGTGAACTGAAGAACTCTGAATGCTATAAAAATCTCAATAGTAGAGAATGATGCAGAGATCCTTGAGACAGCAGAAACCAAGGCTGTTAAATCGATCGAGTTCAATGGAATCTTGTTACCAGTGCTTGTATCCAGAGGAAATGTGTGCGTCTGGTCCTCTGAGGAAGCGATTTAACACTGCTTGATTTCAAAAGAAAAGGATTTGAGAGAAAATTATCTGAGTTTTACCAGCTTATTGAAAGGATTACATTTTTTTCATGGATAGGTATAGTTGCAGAAAGGTCAGAAATTCTCATTACTTTTAATCTGTCTTCACTGTGTGACACATTTGTCTTCAATGCAATTGGAAAATGGGTTTTTTTGTCCTTTATATCAGCTTAAAATAGTCAGTGAGTGCAACGTAAAAAGCAAACAGTGAATTTGAGCATTTTAGTCAGCTGTGGTGTATCGTGTTTTAAGCATAGTCATGATAGTAAACTCAACTAGATGCTGTGAAGGGAACTTCCATACTTATGTTTGTTTCTATAAGGAGGATAATACTTTACCTAAAATCTCTTTAAACAGAGTACTGGACATTTAGGGATTAAAGGGTTTTGAATAAGTATTTGGAAGAAAAAATTTAAATAAATTTATCTTACAAGATGAATTTTCTGGGGAATATAAAACCCCATAATGTCTTGCTGTTTCCTATAAATTATTTTCAGTACTGTGAATATTGCACATATTCAAGCATAAGTTTTTAATGAAAAATACTACTGCACTCTTCCCCCTCTACTCCGCTCTCGTAAGGCCCCACCTGTAGTACTGCGTCCAGTTCTGGAGCCTCCAACACAAGAGAGACCTGGACATGTTAGAATGAGTCCAGAGGAGGCCACCAGGATGATCTGAGGGCTGGAGCACCTCTCCTGTGAGGACAGGCTGAGAGAGTTGGGGCTGTTCAGCCTGGAAAAGAGAAGGCTCCAGGGAGATCTTATAGAGGCCTTCCAGTACCTGAAGGGGCCTACAAGAAAGCTGGGGAAGGACTTTTCATAAGGGCAGTTAATGACAAAACAAGGGGAAATGGCTTTAAGCTGAAAGAGGGTAGGTTTAGATTAGATATTAGGAAGAAATTCTTCACTATGAGGGTGGTGAGACACTGGAACAGGTTGCCCGGGAAGTTGTGGATGCCCCCTCCCTGGAAGTGTTTAAGGCCAGGTTGGATGAGGCTTTGAGCAACCTGGTCTAGTGGAAGGTGTCCCTGCTGATGGCAGGGGGATTGGAACTGGATGATCTTTAAGGTCCCTTCCAACCCAAACCATTCTATGATTCTATTTTCATTCTACAGTTTAAGTTTTTAAAGTACTTGTGCAGGCAAAAATACCTGTATAGAAGTAAGCCGTTTCTGTCATGTAGCTGCATATATGCTGTATATTTATTCATGTAACATGTTTTAATTTTTTAAAAAGCCCACCTCTGAAGAAGCTAAGCTAATAACATTCAGACTTAACAGGAAAAGTAGAATTATATGCTAGGTGAGATATAAAGCACTTTATATTTTCTGGCTTGGAATGGCTCTCTAGAAGTCTGTGCCCTATTCCCCTCCCAAGTGCACAGGGACCTTAGGTTAAGAAAAGAGCAAAATCTAGGTGCTGCAAGTTGGAAGGGTCCCCTGGAAGTCATCTGGTTCAATCCTGTGCACCCAATTACAGCTCTGAGCAGGACCCACTGCAGTGTTCCATTATGCTACTTAAAGTTGTCTAGTTGTTTCTTGACTATCTCCAAAGATAGAGGTTCAACACTTTAATCCCAAAGGTAGGTTGCTTAGTATCCCCAGTGTAGCAGCAGTAGCCATTCTTGTGGTCATTTGGAGGAGGAGTTATTTTGTCTGAAGCCTGCTGATGCCTCTAAAAGAGAAATACAAGAATTCCCCTGATGCACATACACCTCAGTCCATATTCTTTCAGTTTGAAACCCTTTCATTTCAAGTCAGGTGCTTAACATCGCTGATTCAAAGGTAGTAAAGCAATTTGTAGCTTCTTCCTGTTGAAATATCTATCTTATTCTGCCTAGGTGACTGATAATTCCACAAAAAATTATGTCCCTAATATCTTCTGTTCTCTTTACTTGTTTGCCTTAACTCTACAATTGCTGATTCAAACACAGATAACAGTTCTAGTGGAACAGTAGCAACTGTGGCTGGATTTTACTTTCTCTTGCTTTGCAAAACTCCAAATACTTTGTTCCATGTTTGTTGTGTAGTTTCACTGATGTGAGTTCAGTGTAAGTCCTGTATTTTAAGTTACTTTGGGGTTTTCTTTCTGTTTACCTCACTTTGTGTTTGTGACAAAAAAATTGAATTTACCGTTATAGCTGGGAGAGGGGTGAGAGATCAAGAGCATATAGGAGAGAAGACTTTATAAAGAAGACTGTATAAGTAGTCTAGCTAGATAGACGAGGTAATAATTGATATATTGTAAAGTATTCACTTGATGCTAATAATCATCAAGGGGGAAATAACTCAGATGGAGAAAAGTATTTTTAAGCAAGATGCTATAAAATGATGAGAAATTAACCTCTTGTGCAACTCTGCATAGCCAGCTGGCTTTTTGGTCATGTCTGTAGCCCTTACCTCATGTTTGTTACCTTAGTCTGAAAGCTAATGGAAGAATGAGTGTTATGAATGTCCTGTATGAGCCAAATGCCAGCAGGAAGCTAAAGGAATGGGCTGGAAAGCCACGGGAAACACCATCAGAAGGAATTATTCTTAGACAAGAGTGCTCATTTCATTAAGAGTTTTCCTTTCTCAATCCTCTCTCATCATACCTCCTTGAAATTGCAAGAAATTTTAGCATAGTGTATCTGTCACATCTTCTATACCAAACTCTGTATCATGGCTCTTTTTCCTGAAACTTCAAGGTGAAGTTTATTCCTAAATGATCTACTGAGAGAAACTTCCCTGGACTAATGAGTCTAAACTTTCCTGACTACTGGCTGGATTTGCAGTTCAGTTGTTCTCTTTGTAATGATGGTTGCTGTTTTATGTTGTGGTGAGATTACTCAGTTGACAGTTTTCCACAGAATGTTCATGTAGGCAAGATTTAATAGGAATATATAAAAATTGTGCGGGTCAAGATTTATGTAGAAGATGTAGTTCGGAATGACTAGTGCATGCTTTCAGGACGTTAATTCCTTGCTCACAGTGTCTCAGTGTAAAGCAGCAGGGGTGGGAGGTGTACTGGAGTGTGTGTATGTAAAATTTGAAGTCATTTCAGTCAAATCAAAGTGTGCTTCCCAGATACGTAGTGTTTATTGAATACAAGTCTTGGGCTGTGATAAATTTTGTGTTGATTTAACATGGATTCCATAGTCTCTAGTCATGTTTACCATTTGCAGTTCAGTTGTTCTCTTTGTAATGATGGTTGCTGCTTACCAAGATCAGATGGATTCTATTTCACCTTCTGGTTATCTGTTATCTTTTAGTATGTTGGCAGATAAACTAAATATGACTCCTGAAGAAGCGGAAAGATGGATTGTCAATCTAATTCGAAATGCACGATTAGATGCCAAATTGGATTCAAAGCTGGTAAGACTATAAATAGATCCAAGAGAATTTGTTGAGTTTTCATTAAATTTATTTTACCTTATTCAGAAACAGCAAATTCTAATTTCTACTGTTTTGTTGTTTTTTTTTTTCTTTACCCAGAAAGTGTAGTGGACTTCATTTACTATTTTTTGGTTGTGTGAGATGTTTTGTGAAAGCTCTGAAAGCAGAGCATTAAATTAAAGGCATATGCCTTCTGAGTAATTGTTAGATTTGCTGTCTCTTTCCTGTGTTTTAGGGCCATGTAGTCATGGGCAACAACGCAGTCTCACCTTATCAACAAGTGATTGAAAAGACAAAAAGCCTGTCTTTTCGTAGTCAGATGTTGGCTATGAACATTGAAAAGAAATTGAATCAGAGTGGAAGATCTGAGGTTTGTATAAGTAACATTCTTCTGAATTCCTGATATCTTTTTTTAAGTATGATTCTTAACCTGTTCCTTAATTAATCAAATGTATCTACTTCTAGTTCTGGCACTAGATATTAAATTGAAAAGGCTTATTTTCTTATAGTAAGCATTAGACAATGATTCTTGTTTTCTTCTTGCATTCTTATCATCACTAGGTATTCCTTTTTTTGTCGCAGAACTAGATGTGTTTCTGTTATAATTTGATTCTCTAATTCTTTTAAATGGTCTTGTTCACCACCTGACAAGGACTGGTTTTGAAGGGTGACATTGTAAAAGTAGTTGTATTACTTTTTTCAAGTAGGTTGTACTTGGAAAGTATCTGTAGATGTATATATAGCATTGAGGGAGCAGTGAGTGATGCTTAAGACTGGAACATGAAGGAGGAGTTCTGCAAAACCCTGTTAAACCCATTTAATGAAATACTAGAGAATATAATAAAGTAAACCAGAGGTTTAAATAGAACTAGTGAAAATAAGGAAGTTGGCAAGATCACCCAGTTTTGCCTCTGTCCATTTTACAGTATGGGAGAACAGTGTAAGGTGGATGACTGAAGTCCACTAAGGACCCAGTTGTGCATACTTGAAACAAAACAAAAACCAAACCCAAACTGCACATTAAAAGAATTTATAAAATATTAAAAGTTTTATTGGGCTTCCTCACTACTTGGCTGAAATATTGATGGAAGTTGGATGAGCAGTGATGGATTAGTTTATTCTATTAAAGGAAAGTCACATGAAACATGGTCTTTAAAAAATGTAACTGCCAAATTATTTTTATATTTAGTTTGGAATCTTCTACAACTTTTGCTTTTTGAAACTACTAATTTGGGGGACTCAGACTGTACATCTTAATTACAGCATGTATTTCTGCTCTTTCAACGCTTGCTTTAAATTTATAGGATATCCTTCACTGATTAACAATATTTCCACTTCTTAGCCATATGTTAGTATTATCATTTTCTTAATAATTTCTCATAAATTTCAGGAACCAACAGATAATGTAGTAATTTCTTTTTTACTGATACCTATTTTTTTTTTTGTTCTTTAGGCACCTAACTGGGCTACTCAAGACTCTGGCTTCTATTGAAATACTTCTGCAGAGGGGGGGAAAATCAGTTTTCATTTGACTAAAAAGCACATAAATATGTAACTTTTTTGAGAAAAGGTAATTATGTGTTCAATCCAACATTATTTGAATAAAATTGGCTAATTTTAACAGTCTGTGCATCTCTTAACTTAAATAGAAACTTAATTATGGTGTATAGGAGCTCTTTTAGCATAATGGTGTTCTGAAGCATTGTGGATCACAGTTTGCAAGATTTAAAATGTAATCTTTTAGATTTGTTTGTACTGAAGGATGCTATTGCTCTCAGAGCTGTCTGAGTTTGGAATCGGGGAATTACAGGTATTTATCATCTATTGCAAGTGTCACACATACAAAACTAAAAGCGGATGGTACAAACAAATGGTTCCCCGCTGGACTTCTGACCAAACCAAAGTCTTCTTCTGCACTTCCATGTTTTTGTTGGTTTGTCAGAGAAGCTTGGTAGAGAAAAGGCATGTGTAACCTACACCTTTTATGAAACCTTACATGCTCTACCTGCAGAATAGTTTGGGTAGACTTGTGTGTTCATGCTTCAGAATTTTTCCTGTTCAAAGGTTCTCACCTTTTCCTGTTCCTGTTCTCACTTTTAATCTTGCCCAGTCCTGGAAACTTTCTGGAGTAGAGCTTTTTGTTTCAGCAAGGAAAAAGTCTTTCAAAAGGTCTGGCTAATGAGCTGGGTATGTTTTAAAGCTTTTATTTTTTTTATTTTTTATCTGAAATTCTTAAGATACATGATGCAAGCATGAAGCAACAAAACCCTGTATTGTTCAACTGTTGTAATTTGAAGGGATTTTTTTAAAGTTTCTGGGTTTTTTCAGCCAATATTTCATGTTTCCCTGGGTTTCCTTAGCACCTTTGCACATCTAAGCTAGAAAATCCACGATCGATGTGAAGTGTAGTGACTGATCAGTGAGTTAAATGTGAATATTGGAAAGGAAGTGACACTGTCTCTGTGTATGGTTTTGAATTTAAGGTTAAGGGGAAAGACTTGCCTTCACCTTATTCCAACTGCATACCTTTTTTCCCCTATTTGCTCTGGAAGTTCTGGAAGTCATCTACATGTGAAAAGTTGTTTTAACTCACCAACCCTTCTGCTTACTGTCTGCAATTACATATTGGCTGGGAAACAGTCACAGGAACAGATTTCTCCATGAAGATAGCAGATGTCTGTCTTCAGAAGTTATTTTTTTCAAGGCATGCTTTTATCTTTACTCTCCTATGTCTAATCCTATACTATGTACTATACTAAACGAGTGGGGAAGTGGTCCATATGCTGGAAGGCAGGGTTGTAATTCAGGGGAACTGCAGCATGCTGGAGGAATTGACTGATGGGAACATCTTGAAGTTCAGCAAAGCCAAGTGTCAGGTCTTCCATCTGGGATGGAATAACCCCATGTAGCAGTGCAGGCAGGGTCATGGACTAAATGGAAAACAACCTTTCAGTAAAGGACTTGGGGATGTGGTGGACAGTAAGGTGAACACAAGTCAGCAGATGTCGTTGTGGAAAGAGATGTGCCTGTAAGAGAAATGCAGTGTCCTGTATGGACTTTACTAGCAAGGAGCAGAACCAGCAGGTTTATGGAAATGATAATTCCCTTTGGGAGAACACAGCTGCAGTACTGTGACCACCTTTGAGCTTCCTACAACAAGGCAGATATCCTCTGGTGCAAGTCTGGTGGAGGGATACCAAAATGGTGAGGAGGCAAAAGTGTGTGACATAAAAGGAGAGACAAAGAGCAGAGTAATGTTGACCCTTAAGAAAAGAAGGCTAAGATCAGATTTTGTTGGGGTTTTTTTTTTCAGTCCCTTCAATGGGAGGATTCACAGCAGGACTGGTCTTGAGGGAGCATATAGGGATGGGATGAGTGGCAATGGACACAAATTGGAACATGGGGAAATTCCAATTAGCTTTAAGGGGGAGTAAAAAAGATTTTTATTTTTATTTTTTTTACCCAGAGAGGTTATGGAATCTCCCCCTTTGGAGATGCTCAATCAGTACTGGACCATCTTGATGGACTTAGACCTGTTCTGAGCAGGGAGTTGGATTCAATGACCTTCAGAAGTCCTTTCTTTCCAGTCTAAATTATTTTATTATTTAATTTGCTATATTTATTAATATGCATAGTAATAGCTTATTTCAAAATATACTTTAATATGGCAGAGTAATGGAAGTGGTTTCCAGCAGTTGATTTAATCTTAACTACTCATTGTGCTACAGTCTAATCCTGTAATGCTCGCTGGGGAGAAAAGGGGGCAAACATCATACCTTCATAGCTTTGAAGGTAATCGGTGTGCAGGGCATTTCTACCAGTGTTCTACCATTACATAAAGGACTGTAAAAGAACAAAATTAGGACTGGGGTACGTGTAGGGTGGGGATGTAATTAATGATTGTTTCTTTAGACCTTTTTCCTAGAAAGTTTTAGGGGTTTTTTGTTACTTGCAAATTCAGTAGGTGCTCTGATTCTGCAGGCACCTTCTTATCTTGTGACTCAAAGCAGTTGTGCTGGCCTAGCAGATGGAATTGAAGAAGTGATGGGACATAAGCAGTTAAAGGTAGATCGCTGCTGAACTATATACACCAGCAGAAAAAGCTTTATTTATCTTCATACCCCTATGATGGGGATGAGGAGCATGAATCAGAGCTGAAGTTAGCAAGTTGCCTTTGGAGAGCAGAGTTTCCTAAGGCTGAGTGTGCTCTAGATGCCATGTTTCTTACTGTTCTTCAAGTTTTCTCTCAAGTGATTGATTAAATTTCAAACAGTAGATTCATTCTGCATCATTACAGCCCCAAAACACTCACTTTAGAACAATCAGATTGTGCAACAGCCATCCCTGTTCGATAACACAATCACAAAAGTGTTGTTGTGTAATAATTAAAGAATTCTTAAATGAGAAAAATCAGAATGTTTTTTGTAAACAGCAAGGAAATGGCCCATGTGCAGCTTTCCTTTTGACAGGAAGAATTTGCTTAAATAGTCAGAGATTTAAAATCATCTTATCTCTGGAGCACAGTACTGAGTTATCATAGCTTTCCATTCTGTTTTTTCTGACCTTTCATCTCTCAGGTGCACATGTATGGAAAGGTATGTGCAGGTTGTAGCACTGCTTAAATTCTTATTACTTTTGCTCAGATACTGAGTGAAACATCAGTTACATGAACAGTTTGGAGGCTTGAGAATTTTTTCTGTGTGTAAACCTTAAAGGAAAACACTGCCTTCTGTAAATGTGTTGTGCATCAAAATATGGGTTTGTGGGTTGATTTTTATTTTTTTGGAGAGGTGTGGTGGTTGAGGAGCATCTTGGTTTTGCACTAGCATCTAAATCCTGGTGCAGTGATTTCTGAAGCCCCTGACTTAAGTACACAGTCAGGTAGGTTTCAGAACAGGAGTTCAAAATGAGGATTTATATGACTTGCTGAAAGAGACGTTTGCTAGTCATTTCACTAAAACAGAATCATAAAAATGATGTAAAATTCAGAACAAACTGTATTCACTGGTCATATATCGGCTATGTTATAAGTAATACTTCCAACTTCCTGAAATTCTGATTTCATTTCTGATAATAGGGTTTTTAAAACAATTTTTTTTTAATTATTTCTGTCAGTCATCTAATGTTATCTCTGCCTAGGAGAAGTTGTGAAAGAGTTAGTGTTGGTATTCTTAAAGTAAATACCAAAACATAAAGGTGGTTATATGGTTGGAGGGGAGTACATGTGTTCTGAAGCGCATCTGCTGTTAACACAGGATAATGTTGCTAAAATCATTCTCTTAAATTGCATAGATCTCACCTGGTTTTGCTGAGTGAAAGGAGAAGGTCTCATTCAGAATGTTGGTATGCTGTAGGCTCTGAAGGGTTTTAGTTCCCAGTGACTCTTTGGTGAAGTAAATATACTGTGTGGCCCAGTATGCATCTAGTCCCCTAACTTTTTTCCATATGTGCCAGTACTGCTCATTAGAGAGGAAAGTGTTGTGGAACCTGAATCTCAAAAGTATGAGCCCTCTCAAGGGCTGCACATGAGGGTGCTGTAACAGTGCTCTGTCCCTGCCACTGGTCTCCGAATGGCTTTTCCACATGACTGGATGTGTGCTCAGCAGAGCTTGTCACCATGGCATGGATCACAGCATCTTCCTTGCACCGTGAATGTGGGAGTTTTTCACAGAGTGAGTAAGTTATGATTGAATTACATAGGGAGGGGAGTGCAAAAGAGGGAAGGCAAAGCATGTTCTCAGCTGAAGGGTGAAACTGGCCAGAGCATGAGTTTGCAATAGGTTGGCAGGAGATGAAACTTCAAGCATGACAATTGTGAATTCTGTCATCATTTTCCATTGACTAAGCTAATGAGAAACTTCATTAGTAGCGATATTTTATAAACCACCAAGAATAGTTGTTCTCCTCTTTAAATTACATGAAGATAAGATCCACTTTCTGCATCTTGTTTTGGCTTTGCTTTTACAAAAACACTTGTAGGAAGTGCTAAAAGAAGCCTTTGGAAAGGGGAGAAAGGAAGAACATTTTAAGACTTCTCTTTCCTTCTTTTGGAAGGGAGAAAGGGAAGAAAGGTGGAAGATGAGGAAATCTTGTACTTCCCCTGCTGCAAAGGACTCTCTTTGAACAAAGTTGGTTTGTTTTTTCAGTAAATTTGTTGAGCAGTTATGATGTTATATTGTCAAGTTTTCCTTCTTTTGTAGAAAATAAAGATTTTAGTTTTCTTTTTAAACAAGTCTATCATGTAAAGCTATGATTCTCTGGGAGTTAAAATGTTTCATTTGTAATCTCATTTAGAGAAGATGTGTTGTCATGTTTGTTACTTTTAAAATAAATTTTTTTAATAGTTTTTAATAAATGTCTTCTGAATTCTTATAGCAGAAATGCCATCAGGAATTAAGCCTGCAAAAGCTATTTGAGGACTTATAAGTAAAAGAGGAGGGTAGGGGTAAGGAGAACAGTGCTGCCTCTGGTAACAAACTCCTTTTATAGCATGTACAAGTGGAGCAATGGTGTGAGGAATTCTTAATCTTCCCTGCAATTAGCTGGTAACTGTGCAACCTTTAATATCCAAGAGGAAAGCAAAATTGGATGCCGGTGAGCTGTACATTAAAGTAAAGATTT